TCTTAGATCCAGTTACTTTTTATCATTTTCACTCTTATCTAAGTCAATACGCAGTAGTTTCCTGTTTCTCTCTTCCTGCTCTTGTTCCTGTGTAGTAGCCAGACATAGTTTGGAAAAGTAAATTAGATTATGTCACCCCCTCTGCTTAAAATCCTTTCTTGGCTTCTATTACTTTTAGAATTAAAAAACAAAAACAAAAACAAACTAATCCTCACACTGGCCACAAGGAATTTGGCTTCTGGCTAGCTATGTGATTTCACATCTTGTCTGATTACACTGGTGGTCATACCTATTCCTCAAATGTCATTCAGATCCCTGCTTAAATATCACCTTCTCAGAGGTGGCAGCCTGCCCATTCTTATTAGAAATAACCAATCCTGCTCTCGCCTTTTATCTCCTAACTGTATTTTGTGTGATTATAGTTCTGTCTCTTCCATGGGCTATACACTCCAGAAGGATGGGAAATAACTCTTTTGCTTGCCATTATATCCCCAGCACAGTGTCTGGTGCATAGTTTATGCTTAATAAATGTGCTCAGTGACTGTGTTCAATGAATGAAAGTGCTGTTTAACTTTTCCTTTCTTAAAATAGGATCTTGAGATTTTTTTTTTTTACAACCGCCATTTCTTTAGAAAGATTATTTGCATGGAAGCCACCTCAGTCTTGGGATACTTGGAGAGTTGAGCACACTGAGTTAAAAGCACAGGCAGCAAAGGCTCAGGGGCTACTGACAACCAGGAAAATGGACTTGTCTGGTTGGACGCCATTGTAATGTAGCACTTTCGTTTGTTTTAATATTTATTTATTAAATTGATTGGGGTGACATTGGTCAATCTGAACATATACATTCAGGTGTGGGTTTCTATTTTACAACATTTGTATATTTGCACCGTGTGCCCATCACCCAGAAGGTGGGAGGAATAGGGGATTCTAATATATGGTGACAGGAGAAGATTTGACTTTGAGTAGGTGTTTTTTTTTTTTTTTTTTTTAAAGTTCTAATTATTAGAAATAATAGCTTTCTTTTTCCTGTGGGTCAAACAGCATAGACCCTGACATTAACCCTCCAGTCCAGCACGTCTCCTCTGAAGCACTGGACTGAGTAATGCCTGTTACATCCTTTCCCAGCGCCACTGCAGTCTCAGACCTGCATGAAGTGAGGGAGTGGGCTGTTACTGGGAGAATAGCATTCCTGGGAGAGCAGTAAATGGAGTCCCTGAGCCATAATGACACTGTGTCTGTAATAAGAAGGCAGTGGACCTGGACTGACTGGTGAATCTTTGGAGAGAAGGTCAGAGAGGGAGTGGGAGATGGAGCCATTATAAAGCCTCTTGGGGTCTTATTCCATGTATGATGGGAAGCCATTGAAAAGTTTTCACTTGAACTCTGACTAGGATGTCTGAGAAAGCTCACTGCCCGCAATGTGGCGATTAGACTCCTCCAGGGCTCGGGGCGGGGAACCCAGTCAGGATGCATTGCAGTCATCCTGGAGAGAGATGGTGGCTTGGCCCAGGGTGATATAATGGTAATGGTAAGAAGCCATGGGATTCTGGATACATTTGAAATTGGAGCTGACAGGCCAGATTAGAGGTGGAAGGTGAGAGAAAAAAGTCAAATACGACTCCAAGGTCATCTGTGAAAAGTTGCTTGTGGAGGTGAATCCAGGGCTGGAATGTAAGAGAAATCTTGATTGGAAAAGAAGCGTCAGGTGCAGAGGAGTTTAAAAGGGACCTTGAAAAGTGGTATGAAAAGGTGATTTTATAGGAAATAAAGCAATATGAAGTATATAGCACTTAAAGTAAGAGTTATGTTCTGACTCAGTCCTCAAAAAGTGTATTCCTTGCCGAAGCTGGTTTGGCTCAGTGGTAGAGCATCGGTCTGCGGACTGAAAGGTCCCAGATTCGATTCCCGTCAAGTGCATGTACCTTGGTTGCGGGCACATCCCCGGTAAGGGGTGTGCAAGAGGCAGCTGGTCGATGTTTCTCTGTCATCAACGTTTCTAGCTCTCTATCTCTTTCCCTTCCTCTCTGTAAAAAATCAATAAAATATATATATTTTTTAAAGTGTATTCCTTGTAGGGAAAGAGGTCATTTTTATGCTGGGCAGCACCCGGGGAGGTCAAGGGAGGCCTCAACCCGATCCAGGTTCTTGTCACAAGACAAGAAAGGATTAAGAGTGTTACAGAGGATTTAACAAAGCACAGTAAAGTTTTTAAAGCGATAGTACGACTTGAGAAGTGAGAGTGGGCAACCTAGGAGAATGAGACACCATTCACTGGGGTCTGGGTGGAATGTTTTATTAAACATGATGACTACTGAGGGCAAAGGTACTGAAAGCACAGTAATGACTGGTTGATAGTTGCATGAACCATCACATGCAGGAAACCAGCTTCACAAAGGAAGCCTACAAGAAGTATGTCAAAGATGACATGAAATCAATCAAAGGGAAACTTGAAGAACAGAGAGCAGAAAGAGTACAACCTTTTATGAAAGAGTAAATCCTTTCATGATGGGCTGCAGGATGAATCAAGCACATCCTTGCTGATTTCAGAACCTCCCGGTTCTTTATTGGTGAAAACAGATGGCATGGTTGCTCTGCAGCACTTCCGTGAGGGTGGTGTGACGCAAATAGGATTTTCTTTAAGGATGGCTTAGAAATGGGAAAATGTTCACAAATTTGGCAGTTTGGATCTATCACCTGTCATTGTAACTGGCTGCTATTTTTCTTTTCTTTTTAAAAACTACGAAGTGCTTCATGAAATTGCATGTCATCTGTGTGCAGGGGACATGCTAATCTTCTCTGTATCATTCCAATCTTAGTTATGTGCTGCCAAAGCAAGCATCTGGCTGCTGCTTTCCATCTACGCTTGAGGACCAGGACAATGGGACTGATGTTATCTTGAGCTCTGTTTATTTTGACCTTGATATATTTGGAGCAGAGGCATTGTTTTTAGAATAGCATGTCATGCCCTGGCCGATTTTGCTTAGTGGATGGAGCATTGGCCTGTGGACTGAGGGGTTCTGGATTCGATTCTGGCCAAGGGCACATGCCCAGGATGTGGGCTTGATCCCCAGTGGGGGGCATATAGGAGGCAGCCGATCAATGATTTTCTCTCATCATTGATGTTTCTGTCTCTTTCTTCCCTCTTCCTTCCTCTCTGAAATCAACAGAGAAGTAAAAAAAAAAAGTATAATTTGTCATGTAGGTCATCTAAAAATAAAATGCATTTGAACTCACTTGAAAAAAACACACAAGACTTAATAAAACATGCTTAAAAGATTTATAATAGCAAATTTTCTAAAGGTTAGAAGTGTTTGTTTTAACCATGTTTTTTTTAATGGGAAGACTACAGAAGTCATATCCTATGTCTCATCTCGTCATTGTCCTTATTGCTGAGCCACTGCAACCTGGAATGTGGCTCATGCAGCATGGCACTAACTTCCTCTTCGCTTGGTAGAGTTTGTATGTGGTCTTTCATGTTTTAGGAACTATAATAATTAAGTTCCTAGTTTTAAGTGGGTAAGAAGAGTATTAATGCCTGCGGTATACTTTTAGGGGGTAGTCATAATATATGTGCATACACATACATATATGTGTGCATATTCATTCAAGATGCCTTACTGGCAATGGATGCATAGGGAATAAGCATTTCAATGATGAGTATTTTGGCTCAGAATGGCCTCTGGAGCCAAACTCTCTAAGTTCGCATCCTGGATTGGCACTAGCTAGTTCTGTAGTCTTGGGTAAGTTATTTAAACCTCTTTGTGATGGTTTATCTATTAAATGGGGATAATTAAGCATCTGCCTTATTGAATGGTTGGGAGATTAAATAGGTTAGTACATAGAAAGTACTTACAGCTTGGAGGAAGTGCTCCATGAATGTTGGCTGTTACCTAAATATTATATGTAATGTCTTTTGTTTAGAAACTTCTTCTTTGTTTAAGTTACCATTTGTGTGGGGGGAGATGTTCTTTCTAGAACCATGTCTCTGTCACATGACTGCAGTGTGAGCCTTAGTAATAGTCTCTCAGCATTTGAGGTTGGAACGTAAGTCCATGGCCGTACCCAGTGGAATCCAGCAAGAGCAAGAGAGAGAACTAAGCACCGTAGCAACTGTTGCTATTTGTGTCCCGAGCAGCAGCTGCTCTGGTCAGATTTATTTTTTAATCCTGATCTCACTGATACCCCGGGATGTGGCCCTGCTTTAGAGAAGTAGGTTGGTCTAGATGTCTGTCTTTGAGGAGGTTTCATGAACACATGTTACAAGGATTCTATTCCATGTGAAATCTGAGGAGCCAACGCTTCAGTGTATGAGAAAGGGACAAAGACTAAGCCTCAGCAGTCAGTCCCTGAAGTGAACTGGGGCAAGATTAATCACATGACAAATCACTGTTAATATGGGCAGTGAGACTTCCTGCTTATCAGTCAAAACGTAATTTTGCTATAAAAACATTATACAGAAGATTTAGTGGTCTGTGATTCCACTGTACACACTCATACACAAATTTTCACACATACATACATGATCACTTATGTATTAGCTATGGATTTCAGAAATAAGATTATCTTTTCAATGAATGCTTTATTACAAAAGCTTTTCTGAAGTAGATAGAGCTTTTAAAAAGTGTTTGTTTCAAATAGTGGCTAGATTGATTCAGTAATTTTCTAATTTTTATTTCTGATGTGTTGAAATATTTGAAGCCTTATGAAGCACCTGGAATAGTAATATGGCCCATTTCCAGATCTTGGCTGCTTTCTTACCTCTGATTCCGTCATAAACTATTTAATGAGCACCTACTGTCTACCAGGCTCTGCTCTGAATCCTGATTAGTATTTTCAAATTATATATGTAGATCATCTATTAAAATGAGATTGTTTTTCATTCAGCAGTAATTTACTGATTTGGATGTTTTGAATTTACCATAGAGCATCATGTTGAACTAAAGATAAAGAACTTGTAACTAAGTGACTTATAAAATCAAAACATTTTCATTCTCTAGGTATTGTTAACCCAAAGAACCCAAAGGAAGCTCCAAAGTCCTTCAGCTTCGACTACTCCTACTGGTCTCACACCTCGGTGAGTGTGCTCATGTGCTCAGAGGAGCAGGGTTTTTTTAATGTGTTTCCAAAGAGCCGTCAGGTCCAGCAAGAAAAGCAGAGGTTACCGACACCTAGCAAAATGGAGAGTGGGGCCCTTCGCAGTATCCTTACTCAGTATAGAACCCTCAGTCTTATTGGCTTCTAGGGCTTTTTCCGAAACTAGAGTTTGCTTCTGCATCTCCTTGTTATTCTTTAGTTCTTTATTTTTCCTGATTTGTGTTGGAAAAGGAGATGTTTTAAACCAGCGGTCGCCAACCTGTAGGACCTCTTGATAAAGCCTAGTTGGCAAGGGAAGGGTCTAGGCAAGGGGTTGGAAACATTCTTCACTTAAAGTTGTGTTGAGATATATCCGTACTACCGGTAACAAGTTCAAAAAGTATTTTTATATGTGGACTTGACCTTTGATCTTTTAGTCCCATTTCCTCTTAAGAAAAGTTTATTGGAGCTCCCTGTGAATGGAAGAGTGATATTTGTAAAGTTATGGAAAATGAAATGTAATCATGTTAGATAACTTCATGTAGATATTTTTACATATGGCTGACCTGGATAATAGATAACTCTAGTGGTGCATGCGTGCATAAAAAATGAGAAAAATAAACAACATGTAGGGGAAACTTAAAAATATATATATATTTTAGGTGATTAATCTGATTCAAAGCACTTGTACTTATTAGAGCAGTAATCAAATAAGCATAGGAAAGAATACGAATAAAATGTCATTTCTTCTTTTAATCTTTATAGCCTGAAGATCCCTGTTTTGCATCTCAAAACCGTGTGTACAATGACATTGGAAAGGAAATGCTCTTACACGCCTTTGAGGGCTATAATGTCTGTATTTTTGCCTATGGGCAGACTGGTGCTGGGAAATCGTACACAATGATGGGTAAACAAGAAGAAAGCCAGGCTGGCATCATTCCACAGGTAAAAAACAACAAAAAAACCTCTGTTCCTCATCACTCTTAGTCTTCAATGGCTGTAACAATTATTTTTATTTAGCAAATGTTTATTCACGGACTGACATACTAGGCATGAGGATAAATCACCTCTCCCTTTCCCCCAGAGGAGCTAACAGGCTAGTGGAAGAGATTGACATATACATGTCTACTTTAAAGGTGGGAAAGCTGTTTTTTTTGTAAAGGTTTTGCTATGTATCCAACATTATGTTGGTATTTTATCTTTTGAACAGTGTCACCAGCTTCTTCAAAAAGAGATAGTATGTAACAAGCTCTGTTCTGAATCCTGGAAATACTTAATAAATGTTGTTGCTCTGACTTTTTTTTTTTTTTAAGCTCCATATATAGATCACCCCTCAAGAATCCGATTTTTAAAAAACTTTATTTTTAAAATATATTTTATTGATTTTTCTTTTTTAGAGAGGAAGGGAGAGGGATAGTTAGAAACATCAATCAGCTGCCTCTTGCACACCCCCTACCGGGGATGTACCTGCAACCAAGGTCCATGCCCTTGGACCAGAATTGAACTGGGGATACTTCAGTCCAAAGGCCAATGCTCTGTCCACTGAGCCAAACTGATTAGGGCAAGAATCTGATTGTTTTTGGTCACCTTGTTTAGAGTTAATTTCCTTTTATTATATTAGTTTAATACTATCACTTTTAAGTTTGAACAGTGAAAAAATTTTTTAAGAGCATTTAGTCTTGATTTTGTATTGTTGGAAATGGAGAGGAGTTGTGACATCAGTATTTAGAAGGAACTTATTTTTAAATAACAGGAATATGGCTTTTGTTAAAGATATTTGGAATTAATTTTAAAGAGGTTTTTTTTGTTTTGTTTGTTTGTTGCCGTTTTTTACTATAGGCCTAGTATGACCATCTCTATATTTTGAGTATAAAATACAGAAGCAATTACTACTTTTTCTGACAAATTAGTGGACTGTAATTTTGAATTCAGCTATGTAATTGAAATGTTTAGTAACAAAGATAAGAAAAACCTTAGAAAAAATACTAACATACATATCTTTTTACTAACATACATATCTAACATATATATCTTTTTTTCTGTAAAAACATTTATTAAGACATACAGAATGGGGTAAAAGTAGGTTTACAGTAGTTTGTGTGAAAAATAATACAATAATTAATAATAATTCAAGAGAAAACTATTTCACATACTCACAACTGTAAACCTACTTTTGCCGCATCCTGTATATTTGGGAATTGTCCTTCTCTGTTTATAATAATAGCAACAGTTACAGTGCTTATTAGAGAAAACATTCTTAAGCATTCCCTATGTGCCAAACACAGGTCAAATGCTTGACAAATACTAACTCATCTAATGCTTCTAATTTGGCCTTAAGAGGTAGGTCCTATTATTACCCTCATTTTACAGATGGGGAAACTGAGGCATGTGGTCATGTCACTTGTTCAGAATCCGAATGTAGGAAAGGTAGTTTTGGAATCTCTATTTTTACTGCTGTGTAATACTTTTTGGGCAATAAAATAATTATAGATTACAATTATGCCAAGTTATACTAAATAGTCATATTTATTTATCTATTACTACACTGAGTTTCTCCTTTTTCCTTTAATTTGTTTGTTACTAAAATTCTTATAAATTACATCTTTTCTGATAGAATTGTGGAATATTTTATTTTTTATTTTTAAAGTATATTTTATTGATTTTTAGAGAGGAAGGGAGAGGGAGAGAGAGATAGAAACATCAATGATGAGAGAGAATCACTAATTGGCTGCCTCCTACATGATTTTTGTTAATTCTTATACAAACTTACCACATTATAAATAAATTCAAGGGGTAAGGATAATGAAATTTTATAATTTTTCTGATCTTTAAAAATTAATGTTTTCTGTTAAAAATATCACTGGTAGAGTAGCCTTTTGTAAAAGGGTTAGAGTCTTAAGACAGAGATAAAGGAAAAAGTTTTAGTCAAAATGATTCTTGAAAATGCCTTAATTTATCCCTTACCCATAGTATGTATTCTCTCTCTGTATATGTGTGTGTAGGTATGTATGTATTTATAATATATGTAGTAACTGACAATTTATAATAATAAAATGTATATATCGCAGTAAGAAATGTATGTGTAAAATATAGTTGAATAGTTTTATTGCTACAATAATTCTGATAGTAAAATCACTGTTACTGTATTATAGTATAAGAGCTGAGTTTACATAAATTAAATGTGCCAATGACATAACACTATAAGATACATAACTTTCTCCCCTTTCTCTAAATGTGGCTTTCTTTTTAAGGAAACATTGTTGAGATGCTGTTGTTGAGTGATTATATGGATAGGAAAAATGTATTTAAAGCTGACTTTTATTTCACTCAGAGAATTCACCTTTGTTGTTGATGCCATTAATTTTGGGGGGAAAAAAGAAAAAGGATATTACTAATTTGTGTAACAGTCCTGGGTAACTTGGTGCTTCTTTGATTTATGCTCTTCATCTCTCTCTCATCCTGACTCTGTAGTTATGTGAAGAACTATTTGAGAAAATCAATGACAACTGTAATGAAGAAATGTCCTACTCTGTAGAGGTGAGTACAGCTCCTGGTTAAAACCAGAGGCCTCCACACTCCATTGCCTCATCTGTTGTTTTTAAATTGCTCCAAATTATCACCGTACTATAGATCACTTAACCACTCGCCAGTTTTGTACTTTTAAGCTATTTCTAAGTTTTTGTTATAATAAATAATGCTCTAATTAAATCCTTATTTATAAGACTGGCTTTTAAATTTCATTAATTTCCTTTGTATATATGTTGAGTGTCAAAAAATGCATTTGAATTTCAGAAAGAAGCCCCATCAGGGAGTGTAAGCATCCAAATCTGTCTTTGCGAACATTTAGTATTTTCACTTTTTTTTTTAATATTTATTGATTTTTACAGAGAGGAAGGGAGAGAGACAGAGAGCTAGAAACGTCGATGAGAGAGAAACATCGACCAGCTGCCTCTTGCACACCCCCTACTGGGGATGTGCCCGCAGCCAACATACATGCCCCTCACCGGAATCGAACCTGGGACCTTTCAGTCCGCAGACCGACGCTCTACCACTGAGCCAAACCGGTTTCGGCAGTATTTTCACATTTTAAACTTTGCCAATTTGATAAGAGAAAATGCCTCACTCTTATTTAAATTTGAATTACTTTGATTATTAGTGTGGTTGGACATCTTGTAAATGATGCCTGTGTCAGTTTACATGTTGGGTTTGCAATGTTTTTCTTATTATTTGTGTGAACTCTTTCTCTTCAATATTATCGTATTAATAATGATCTTTTTTGGCTGAAACCGGTTTGGCTCAATGGATAGAGCGTCGGCTTGGGGCCTGAGAGGTCCCAGGTTCAATTCTGGTCAAGGGCATGTACCTTGGTTGCGGGCATATCCCCAGTAGGGGGTGTGCAAGAGGCAGCTGATCGAAGACTCTCTCTCATCGATGTTTCTAGCTCTCTATCTCTCTCCCTTTCTCTCTGTACAAAATAAATAAAAATATATTTTTTAAAAAAAATAATGATTTTTTGCAGGCATATATAATCAAATCTCTTCTCCCCCTTCTTCCCCTTTATAGTTGCTTATAATCTTGGAAAAGTTAGTCTCCATCCATTGTATACCTAACAATGGATTTCCTTTTAAAAAGAGGTTTATAGAATTATTTTATATAAATATTAATTTATTTGATAAACGTTTCCACTTTTTTGTATGTGCTTTAAGAGCTATTATTTTACACCCTCTCCATTTTTTGGTAGTTGATTTTATAGTCATTACTATTATTAAAATGTTCTGATCCTACTACATGTATGGGCAACTAATTTTCTACAAAGGAGCCAAAAACATAACAATGGGGCAAGGAAAGCCTCTCAGTAAACGGTGTTGGGAAAACTGGAGAGCCACGTGGAAAAAATGAGACTAGACTGCTGCCTGATACCATGACAGAGTGTTCTGTTAACACGAGCCTGTTCTGAGGAATCAAGCTGCTTTTAAAGCAAACTCTAGTTTTTATATTTTAAAAAATGGATATGTTTGATTATCCATAGGACTTATACAATGTCTAGTTAATTTACTTAGATGCTTTGGTTTGTTTGTTTGTTTTCTTTACCTATAAAGTGTTGCATAAACTGATAAGTTTTAAAGGATTCTGCCTGTGACCATTATACACCAAAAGGGGAATGTGCTGCTCTAAAAATATTTTTTGTTAAATTGAATTCTCTTGTCTCATCCTATAACTATTCTGTTTTGAATCATATGACAGAATTTTTTGAGCTTGTGGGTAATAAAAAATAAGCCCCTTTCTTTCATATTAGTCTGCATTCATAGGCTTATTTGGACTGCAGTGTAGATCCCCAGTTGATACAGTGGTTTCTTAAATTTATGGTCCTCTGCCTCCTTTCTTGCCTTTCTCTTACTTATTCTGCTGCAGCCACACTGGGTTTTTGTGCTGTTTCTGGAATATATCAGGAATGTTCCTAACTACAAGGCCTTTACTTTTCTTTAAGTTTTCCACCTCCTCCAGGTCTTTTGTTCATACTTACTGTTTCTTTGAGGCTTACCTTGACCATCCTATATAATAAAAGGCTAATATGCAAATTGACCGAATGGCAGAATGATTAATCTATATGACACACACTGATTGCTAGGGAGCAGACACTCAACACAGGAGCTGTCCTCTGGTGGTTAGTGTGCTCCCATAGGGGAGCGCTGCTCAGCCAGAAGCCTTGAGCTGGACTCATGGCTGGCAAACGCAGAGGTGGTGGCAGGAACCTTTTCCACCTTTGCAGCAGTGCTAAGGATGTCTGACTGCCCATGGGGAGCGGGCCTAAGCAGGCAGTTGGACATCCCTCGAGGGCTCCCAGGCTGTGAGAAGGCGCAGGCCAGGCTGAGGGATCCCTCCCCCCCATCCCGAGTGCACGAATTTTGTGCACTGAGCCTTAGTCTTTTATAATACTGCAACTTGCCTTCCACCCAGTGCTCCTGGTCTCGCTTCCCCTCTTCTTCCCCTCTCCTTCCCCATAGTACTTGCCATAGTCTAACCTATTTTATGATTTTACTTATTTTTTTTTATGTTTGTTGTTTATTTTCAATCTCCCTTTCTAGCATCATAAGCTCACTAGGGAAGGGATCTTTGTCTGCTTTATTAACTGATATATATCAAGTACCTAAAAAGATCTGAAAATACCTGGTGCTTAATGAATTGAATTTTCTAAGTGGAGGTCTATAATCTTGGTTCATTTAGAAGTAAAATAAATAGTGGTGGTTTAGTGGATTTGCACATTAGAAAATAAGTAATGGGGCACATCAACCTTTACCAGGTTATTGGGGAGCTCTTAGCCTTATACATGTGTGAAAAGGGACAGGTTTTCTAAGAACATCTGATAGCTTCCTGGGATTCAGGATTGTATGTACAGGTTTAAGTACATGAGAATGATTGAAGTACCATCTCACTTTCTTGGAAAACATCTTTTACAAAGATTATTTGTTGTCCTCTTGTTTTACTCTTGTAATAGATCAGTTACTTTATCTTTCACCATCTTCAGTTTTTTTTAATTGATTTTGAAAAACAGTATAAAAATACAGATCTGAGAGTGGAAAAAAGAAAAAGCCAATAGAACTAGAGATAAGGTTCCATTTAGATACTCTGAAAATGTGTCTGTAGAAATTTGAAGTTGAAAAATGCAGAAGTTACATTGTATGCTTGAGTGGCTCAGTGATACAGAAGTGTCTGATTCCTAGGAAGCCGTATGATTAGGCTCACTGGTGAATTCACCCAACTTCAGAGCGTTGTTGCTTAGAAATCTGAGCTTATAGGTTCATTAGGATCAACCCATCATTTCTAAGGCAGACTCTTGAATGAAGCTCATTTGATTGATGTTAAGAAACCAGCAGATTGGTTTATTATTTTCCTGTGAGGATTAACTGTTAACCAGACCAGACACTTGTGATTGGTATATTATTGGGCGGACCTCTGTTGGTGGTTTTTGGTGAGCATGAAGTTAGAGGGAGAGGAATTGAATAGATAGATGCTTAATTGCTTCGGGTGAAGAAATGATAGCCTAACACATTCATCTCCATGACAGCACATTGTCTGTGGCTTCTTCGCCTGTGAGGCTTGGACAGGTCCTGCCGTACAATTGGATTCTGTGCTGACCAGTCCTTATCCCTTCTGATAGATACATTTTGGCCCATAATCAGTCACATTGTGGCCAGTCTTTAAGTACTGGTATTAGAGAGGCTGGGCTCTTGTCTTAACTGCTCTGGAATATTGATACAGTTCCTTGGTTTTAACACTAATAGAAATATTGTTTCAAGCTTTTGGAGAATGGCAAACATTTTAAAAAATATTGACAACTGATAAGTTGCTATTAAAAATGTTATTTTTTCTGCTAAACACAGGTGGTAGTCACTGTGTGCTAAGATAGCTTATTTACAGCCTTTTTTCCTCCGAGAAAGTCAGAAGGCTGGTCCTAACCTACTCAGTGGTGTCTGTGCATAAAATATGTTAATAGAATAAAAGGGACTGGAACTATGGCATTTCACTTAGTAAAAGTTGCTAATCACTAATTACTTTTAATAAGTTTTTAAAAATTTTTTTAATTAGAGGATTTTCCCCCCTGAGTTCTCATTCATTAATAATTTGTTTCTAGGTGAGCTACATGGAAATTTACTGTGAAAGAGTACGAGATTTGCTGAATCCAAAAAACAAGGGTAATTTGCGTGTCCGCGAACACCCACTTCTTGGCCCATATGTGGAGGACCTGTCAAAGCTGGCAGTCACTTCCTACACAGACATTGCTGACCTCATGGATGCTGGGAACAAAGCCAGGTATGGCAGGGAAGAGACTGATGGCTGAGGCTTTTGGCACATTTTCAGGCCCTTTGTAGTTAGGAAAGTGCCATTGTGGATCCTCTGATCCTTTGGTTGTGCTGAGAAGTGAGGGTTTCAGCATATTTAGTATCTATCTTCCTATCAAAACAATGCACTGCTGAGGCACAAAGAGAAGTGCGGTTAAGTTTTACTATTGGGTTTTGGTCAAGTTATGCTAAAGTGCTGCTTATCACATGCCTATGGTAGTAATTGATCCCGGAATAAATGAACGCCTAATAAAAATTAAATGCCTCAGTGGTTTCCAAAAGGGACAACTGGAGTATGAAACATGACTCTGAGGGCATACCTTTGGAGTTGGAGGGTAACTTGATAAACTCGTAAATAGAATGTATTGAGAGCATTTTGTGTGATAGTCTTGCACTCTGTGAATTAAAGTTGTTGCTTGTGATAGTTATGCTTGTCATGTGGAACCTGATGTCCCTTTTAACTTGCATCTAAGAATTCCATTGTCACGTGATCGCCTTTATGTGTATTTAGGACAGTGGCAGCTACCAACATGAATGAAACAAGTAGCCGTTCCCATGCTGTGTTCACAATTGTTTTCACCCAGAAGAAACACGATACTGAGACCAACCTCTCCACTGAGAAGGTAGGGAAACTTCAGTCCCTGGGCTTGAGTTGTGCACAGCGGGGATTTTCAGAAGTCCTTGCTAGCCTCTGCATTTTGTGGGATTTTTACTTAATGGAGGGTATTTTATACCTTTAGCTTATCATTTTTATTCCTCTCTAAACCAGTTTTGAGTATGGATTCATGAGTGAAATTGCAAAAGAGAAAATAGGGTAAAGGAAAAACAATCCAAGACTTTGGTTCTCAAAAGCTTCTCTATGCAAGGGAATTAATTAAGTAGTTCTGAGGGAAGAAAATCCTCCCTTTTCTTCTTCCTGACTGGAACCTCTTATCTTATTAGCTTCTTTGAATGTGTATTTCATTTTTTAAAGCTCTGATAATGTTATTGCAGAATTAATGTTTAAGCAAACCATGAAGCAGACAAGATGTATTTTTTTTTTTGGAAAGTAAATGACTGTACAGCAGTTCTGATGTTCTTCAGATACCTTTGTTAATTTCTCATTTTCTACAGTGGTTAAATATATAGACTTTGGAATTAAACTGCTTGCTTTAGATCCTGGCACTGCCACTTTTCAGCAGTGTTGCCTTGGGCAAGTTATTTAATCTCTTTGTGCCTCAGTTTCTCCAGCCTCATAGGATCTTAAAAAGGATTAAGTAGTATTATAGGTTAAGCACACATAATAGTGCTTGGCACAGAGTAACCACTTAATAAATGTTAATTTTATTGTCATTATTGGTAATAATAAGTTTATGTTCTACTCTGCTTATATTCCTACATAGCATATAGCTGGATTTTTTATCTGAAGTTAGAGCTATTGTACTAGCAATTATAAAAGATCCTTTGTTTAAAACTTAGTACCTTATAGAACTAGTATCACTAAAAACTAGAATTAACTTTTACCTGATAACCTCTTTGTTTTTATTGAAAATTATTTTTAAGGATATAATCTTTCATATGGATTATCAAATAAGTTGACACTGCTTAACCAGCGGTTATAATATTAATTGCCATAAGTAGTCAGTATTCATCTGATTGGCACAAGGTATATCTTACAGGAAAGCATTTTCTTTTCTTTTATATGATGTCAAATCTACAAAAATAGTAATGCTAATCCCATAACCATAGCTTCCATGATAATCAATTTTAGATACTTTTGTCTGAACTTTCCTGAAGCATTTTTAAAAAACTTTATGTATTATTGAAGTACAGTAAAACATATATTTAAAGTATAAATCTGGATCACATATGTATACACCTATGAAAGCAATACTACAACTAGGTATCTTATCTAGTATCCCGAAAAGTTGCTTCATTCTCCTTTGTAATCTAACTACATCCCTCTTTTCACCCCCATCCTCAGGTAATTCATGACCTACTTTCTGTCACTATAGATGAATTTACAGTTTCCAGGAATAACATAGTATTTTTTGTCTGGCTCCTTTCCTTAACATAACGATTTTGAGACTCATCTATGTTGTGTGTATCTGTAGTTCACTCTTTTATGCTGATTACTATTCCATTATACAGATGACGTATCACAGTTTGCTCAGTAATTCACCTGTTGATGGGCATTTAAATTGTGTCCAGATTTTGATCTTACAAATGAAGATGCTATTCACATGTGTGTACAAGTCTTTGTGTGTGTATTTGTTTTTGTTTCTCTTGGTTTATACCTTGAAGTAGAATGGTTGAATCTTATAAGTGTATGTTGAGCTTCTTAAGAACCTGCTAACGGTTTTCCGTCTTTCATTGTAAAATGATACAGTGAAACAATATAATTTATATTTCCACCATCAGTATTTGACAGTTCCCGTTTCTGGAAGCTTCATTTTTAAATTTTTATTAATTTTTAAAATCCTCACTCGAGGATGTGTTTGTTTGTTTTGTAATATATTTTTTTATTGACTTCAGAGAGGAAGGGAGAAGGGAGTAAGTACTGGAAACATTAATAATGAGAGAGAATCATTGATTGGCTGCCTCTTGCACAACCCACACTGGAAATTGAGCCCACAACCTGGGTGTGTGCCCTGACCAGGAATTGAACTGTGACCTCTTGGTTCATAAGTCGATGCTCAACCACTGAGCCATGCTGGAAAGGCAAGGACAGGTTTTTGTTTTTTTAATTGATTTGAGAGAGAGAAAAAAACAACAACATTGATGTGAAGGAGAAATGAATTGGCTGCCTCCCATACTCACCCCCATGGGGATTGAACCTAAAACCTAGGTATGTACCTTGAATGGGAATCTGACCTCCCACCATTTGGTTCACAGGATGACTCTCCAACCAACTGAGCCACCAGGCCATGGCTGGAAGCTTTATTTTTAATGCCATTTAATGGGTCAATGAGTTTTATATATTTTTCTGCTTTTAAAATTTTATTGAGGTATAACATAATTGATATACATTATATTTCAGGTGTACAAAATAATGAGTTGATATTCGTTTATATTGTGAAATGATCATCACAATAAGTCTAATTAATTTCCTTCACTATATAGCTACAGAATTTTTTTCTTACGCTGAGAACTTTTAAAATTTACTCTTAGTAACTTTCAAACATGCAATACAGTATTATTAACTGTAGTCACCATACTATTACATTGCATCCCATGACTTATTTCTTTAATAACTAGAAGTTTTACTTTTTCATTCCCTTAGCCAATTTTTTGTATTCTTCCCTTACCCCCAACTCCTTGCTTCTGGCAATCACCTGTCTTGTTCTCTGTATCTGTGAGTTCCACCCCCTACTCCCCACTCTCCACCTCCCAAATTTTAAATATAAGTGAGATCATGTAGTATTTCTCTTTCTTGGTTGAACTTATTTAACTTAACATAATGGCTTCAGGGTCCATCCATGTTGTAGCAGATGGCAAGATTTCATTCTTTTTTATGATTGGATTATATTATCCATTTTATGTATGTACCGCCCTGTCTATATTTATTCATCTATCAATGGATACTTAGGTTGTTTCCTTATCTTGGCTATTGTATATAATGCTGCAATGAATATTGGGGTTGCATATATCTTTTTGAGTTAGTGTTTTCATTTTCTTTGGATAAATATGCAGAACTGGAATTTCTGGGATCATATGGCAGCTCTATTTTTAATTTTTTGAGGACCTTCCATAATGTTTTCCATAGTGGCTGCAGAGTTTTACATATTTTTATACATCATTGTAAAATATAGATAATTGCTGTGATCTTTCTGTGTGCCCTTTAAATTGATAAAAACTATATATTGACTTTGTCGTCTTATATCATATATATATATATGTCCTAATCAATATTTTTAGTCTTCTCCTTGCCTTAATCTTTCAGTTTCCTGCTTCTAACTTGGACTTGGCTTATTTTTGAATTGCTGCAATGTTATTGTTCTCTACCAGGTCAGTAAAATCAGCTTAGTGGATCTAGCAGGGAGTGAACGAGCTGATTCAACTGGTGCCAAAGGGACTCGATTAAAGGTATTTTTCTTGTCAAACAAATGGCCTCATCAATAATTGTTCTATAACACGGGTAGCCATATCTGGCCCACTGACTGTTTTTATAAATAAGATTTTATTAGAGCACAGTGACATCTATTTACATATTATCTGTGGCTGCTTTCATGCTACAATGGTAGAGTTGAGAAGTTGTGACAGAGACCATAATACCGTTAAGAAAAATGTTGCCTATTCTGCTCTATAACTTCAAAGAAAGATTATCTGTATACATAAAAGCCTAAGCGACCAGAATGACTGGTTGCTGACATGCACTGACCTCCAGGGGGCAGATGATCAACACAGGAGCTGTCCCCTGGTGGTCAGTGTGTTCCCATAGCCAACCTCCCCTGGCTGGCCAACCTTCCATGGTACCTCTCCTCCCTCCCCTCCCCCATTGGGGCTAGGCTCTGGGCTGGGACAGGGAACCGGGTGAATGGTGGTGGATGCAGCCCCTTTCCCAGGGAGACCAAGGACTGATGGCCAACCTACTGCACCCTGTCCCTCCCCTTGTCCAGCAGGCCCTGATTGGCCTGCTGCCCGCACGCTGTGGTGGTGGCTTGGCGGCAAAAGGAGCAGGAGGGGGAGAGGCAGGGAACCACATGGTGATAGGGCGTCCATTCCTTCTGTGCCTGGCTTGGTTACCATTGCCTCCTCTCCCGACCCCACCAAGGCTTTTAGGCCCTGGGCTGGGACAGGGAACTGGTGGTGGGTGGTGGTGGACGTGGTCCCTTTCCCAGGGGGCTGAGGGCCGGCTCCATCCTCGTGGCCAATAGTCAACTTCCTGTGTCCTGCCCTTCCCCCCAGCTGGCAGGCCCCGATCGGCTCAGCCCTGATTGCTGGCCAGGCCTAGAGACTGCACCTGTGCATGAATTTTGTGCGCCAGGCCTCTAGTATAGCATAATAATTAAGGAGGACTTCGTGGTGAGAGTTGAATTGTATTTTAAGGAACAAATGAAAGTAAGGGACAGTAGTGGGAAAAATGGATACACAAGATCCAAATGTGAGATCAAGCATGAACTCCTCTAGAAATATGCCTAACAAGAGCAAAAATTTCATGTTGGTGAGTTGTGGGAAAAAGGCTGCATCTGTAAATTTTTTGGAGTGTAAACATCTCAAAGATACTTTAGAAGTGTGCAATTAGGCATGTGGTCTTAGCATGTTATCAAGTGGAGAGGAGGGAAGATTGAGAATTAAAGGAGGTTTTTAGAATTTGTGGTCATAAAGAAACTTATAATGCTAGCCTATGTATAATTGTATTCTATCTATTATATATGATGTGGCAGTTGTAGAAATTCTTAATTCTTTTATGTTTGGAATTGATTTTAGGAAGGAGCAAATATTAACAAGTCTCTCACAACTCTGGGCAAAGTCATTTCAGCCTTGGCGGAAGTGGTAAGTGTTACTTCATTGTAAAGAAAATTTGTCTGTTCAGCAAATGTATCTGACAGATATTTTGATTGTTTATGACGGTTGCCCTTTTTTGGCCCTCTTATATAATACCGTCCTTCCTTCAGAGCTTTTTGATGAGAGGCATAATGCACTTTGCACTAAAAGTAAAAGAGATCTAGGAGAATGAAAGTAAACAGAGCTGTGCAAGCAAAGGAAGGGCTAGGTCTTTACAAAGACCTAAGGTTTGGCTATTTTTTGAGCCTTATTTCATATCTCGTAAAAAGCATAAGTATTTGTTGTATCTTCTTTTACTGTACAATCTTTTCTAAGTAGGATACAGTACTTTGGAGTATTTTGAACAGTTTGCCATAATAAATACTGTTGATTTGGGGGCCAGTAATGTATTTTTAAAAGTTTATTATTCCTTAACAGTGGAACACTAAAACTGAAACAATTTTTATATAAAAGGCTTTGTTCTTTATGTTAGAAGCTAAGAAAGTGTTAGTCATGTGTGTTCTAATTTAGTATCTTATTTGAGTCCTTAAAAAAGAATTGAATGCCTTTTTGCTTATCTCTGAGAAGTCATATTCAGTTTATGACTTAAAAATTACACACTGTTTTCTGTACGGAGGCTTATCCTGTGTTCTCATTCTCTTTTTTAATGCCTTCATCTGTAGGATAACTGCACCAGCAAGGTATGGTGGGAGGGTGGTAAAAATGAACTAATAGGTGTGGAATCAGTTGTGATGATTTTGAATCCTCAGCAGGTGTATGGCACATGAGTAGGAATGGCACTTTCAGAAAAAGTTTTTGTTTTTTGTTTCATGGCTCTGGAATTTAGAATTGCTTCACAGCAAAATTAATTTAAGGAACATGATGTACTTTGAAGAAGGAATTCAGAATAAGGGGAAAGTTGAGGAAGTTTCTACATTGTGTTATCTTGCAATATCTCTTCTAGTGATCTAAAGCAGTGGTCGCCAACTGGTGGTCCATGAACCACTGGTGGTCTGTGAGGTCCAAAAGTTTGGTTTCCACTGGTTTAAGGAAACCTTTGGAACAGCAGTTGCCAACTGGTGGTCCGTGAGGTCCAGAAAGTTGGTGACCGCTGATCTAATGGACTGTCTCTTGAAGAGATCTATTAACCTCTCAAGCAGATGATGAAAGAAATTTCTTAAGGGTACCATTCTAAAACATAGATGGCTTCTTGGAATTATTTGTATATTTTTCTTTTAAAAAATATTTTATTGATTTTTTACAGAGAGGAAGGGAGAGGGATAGAGTTAGAAACATCGATGAGAGAGAAACATCAATCAGCTGCCTCCTGCACACTCCTACTGGGTATGTACCCAAAACCAAGGTACATGCCCTTGACCAGAATCAAATCTGGGACCCTTGAGTTCGCAGGCCAATGCTCTATCCATTGAGCCAAACCAGTTAGGGCCATATATTTTTCTTAATTATTTTTCTTTGTATTATTTGTACTTGTTTCTTACCATGCAAAGTCATGGGTTATTTATTTATTTATTTTTGTTAATCCTCACCTTAGGATATATTTCCATTGATTTTTCAGAGAGGGTGGAAGGGAAAGGGAGGGACAGAAATAATACCACTTTTCTGTTTTTCTCTGCTGTTAGAAAAAGCTGCCTTGGATTAAAAAATCTGCTATTTGATTTACATTTATGGGTATTCTTAAAATACTTAATCTGGGTCCTAGAACCATAAAGACTGTTAAAACTTAGTGATTGTTTTAACTTGTTCTGCTCATTTGCTTATCAATTAACATCCATATGAACCCAAGGAGAAGTTTACAAAGTACTTACCTATACTGTATATTTTCCGCTTTGCTATGTGCCTCAGTAATTCACAAATGACTTTTTATAAGCAGTTTTGTAAAACTCAATTTAGTACTTTACATCCATGTTATAACTATAATAGGTCAGAAATAAATTTTAGTTTTTATGCAATAAGCATAATTTTTGGTGAATTAAGATGTCTTATTATTTCCACTGGGGAGATAAACAGGATTATTACCATTTAAACTCAATATTTCTTTTTAGAGAAGTTACTGATGTGAATAAAACTTTTAAAAAAAAATAATTTTATTGATTTTTTTACAGAGAGGAAGGGAGAGAGAGAGAGAGAGAGCTAGAAACGTCGATGAGAGAGAAACATCGACCAGCTGCCTCCTGCACATCCCACACCGGGATGTGCCCACAACCAACATATATGCCCCTGACCAGAATTGAACCTGGGACCTTTCAGTCCGCAGACCGACACTCAACCACTGAGCCAAACCGGTTTCTGCGTGAATAAAACTTTTTAATGTAATTACTGAAGCACTGATTTTTTTAAATTATGGGTGTAAGACAGATGACATTTATCTGTATAAGACAGCAAGTAGAGAAGAAATGGCTAAAATTCCAGGATATTTTCAAATAGAAAAGATTGAAGTTCTACTTATGCATATTCATTTAGCTATTCCTTAATTTAACTTTATATTAAATAAAGGAATAGCTAAAAATAGAATATTTTAGGCAAAGTGAGCCTGCTTATTTTTAAGTATTGTTTGCAGTCATTGTAACTGCCTTGCTTTAAATCTTGCAGCATTTTCAGTACTAACCATAGGCAAAGTGGAGTGAGAGGTCTCGGGCCTCAAGAATTTTGTAGTGGAGTGAAAGTTCCATTAGGTTGTGAATGACTGAGGGGGTTCAGTCTCCCTTGAGGTCTGTATAATTTAAAATCTGCTATTGGAAATGACTTTCTAATTGTTGGAATGTGTGTCAGTGAGGGTGGGATGAGATGGAGGGGATATTTTTTATAAGAGGTGGAATTAAAGTACTGCCTGCCTACTTTCTTTCCTCCTCAACAAACCAGAGGTTAGCTACTTAGTTTGCCTTTTCTGAATACCTGTGTTTTTACAAGAACTGGATCATCCTTAGTGTAATTTAACTCACTGTACCTGGGATGGATTATAAAACTGCTCATTGCTGGGGAGATGTATATCAGTGAACCCTGGCATTCTCCTTAGTAGCTTAACTTATCACAGTACATTAGTCAGCCAGCAGATACTAAAGTAGCTTTTATCTACAAAAACGTTCCTTTTCAAAGGATATAACTTCCTCCTTTGCAGCACTGGCTTTACTTTGATGCTTTTTGCTTCATTCTGTACTAATGAGAAGGGTAATGGAGAGAACAGTATAATAAACTCTTCATATATAGAAAATGCATTTTTTAGTCTTCACAAGTCTCAAGATTAGCAAATTATATTATTTCCTTAGATCTAATACTCTAACTATTGATTGCATTTATTTTGGGCATAATTTCCATCTAGAGAAACCAAATTGTATTGCTCTACAAGAGTTACTAGATATGTAACAGTCTACTTGATGATCTGTTGGTTGGACAAGTAAATGCATTAACTAAATGACTGGCTCCTACACATTTGGCCTGAAATGTACGGGATTTACATTCAACCCTCAGCAAAAGTAAAAAATATTATTTGAGATTGGGTATTAGATAATATTAAGGAGTTACTGTTAATTTTGCTAAGTGTGTAATGGTCATGCAGTTATGTTTTTTTAATCTTTCTCTGTTTGAGATTTGTACCTGAAGTATTTATAGGTGAAATGTTGGACTTCCTTTAAAACATTATCAGCTATAAAAGACATGACATGGACAGGATAATTGATAGTAGTAGTATGTTGATATTAAATTTCCTTAATTTGGTCTTTGAACTGTAAGAGACTGTCCTTATCAGCTAAGGGTTTAGGTATAAAAAGGGCATGATGCAATTTACTCCAAAATGTTTCAAGAGTAAAAAGTGTAGAATAGTGTTTGAGGGGTAATTTCAAAATATTGAAAATGGTTAAGAGCTGCATGATGAATATATGGTAACTCATATTACTCTCTAAACTGTTGTGTATGTTACACATTTTTCAAAATAAAATATAGAAAGAAACAATTACTTTATTACATGAGCTTTAGGGTATTGTGAAGAATTGAAGCTGTGAAGTGTTAAATAAAGTGAGGGTTCTACTGTAATTTGATTTACTTGGGAATTTTAGGTGGTTTGTCTTTCATGTGATGTTTTTTTCCTTAGCAACACTAAAACCATTTCTTTCTGTTCAATAGAGTAAGAAGAAGAAGAAAACTGATTTTATTCCCTACAGGGATTCTGTGCTTACTTGGCTCCTTCGAGAAAATTTAGGTATGTTGAACACTGGTAAGCTGGTTGGATTTGCAGACCTTTATTTAAACCAGGGTTTTCTCCCCTGAATCATTGACTTCCAGTCATAAACTGTGAAGTAGTTGTCGTCTTCTCTGCACACCTGCTTCAAACTATTGCTCCTCTTCCTCTTTGAAAGCTTCATGTTCCTTTGAGGTGTACACAGTGAGATATAACCAACCCTTACTCGTTTTTTTTGATGTCTTAGGACCTTCAGTCACTGTTTCTTTAGCCCTTTTCCCTCCTCGATGAGGAGGAGGAAGGAATCAGCTATGTCAAGCATTGCTGATAAAAGGAATTGGCTGAAATGGCCTTTTGGGCCGTCCACTTCACCAGTAACATTCACATCGCTAAGAGCAACTTTGGTGAACTGGCTGAGGTCTTGATCGGTGTGGGAAGAGGGACGGTAGACATAGTAGATCCAGACCCAAGATTTGAGTACAGTGCCTGACATGGGGACATTCAACAAGTTTATTGACTTTTGATTAAATCTTAGGATCTAAGGTTTTGCTGTGTGATCTGATACATTCAATAAAATTTTTCTAAAATGAGAGTGATTTAAGATAATCATGATTCATCATTTTAGGTGGCAATTCTCGGACTGCAATGGTTGCTGCTCTGAGCCCAGCAGATATCAACTACGATGAAACTTTGAGCACTCTGAGGTACTCCAATTTGATCCCAATAGCTTAGAATAGTGGTCGGCAAACTCATTAGTCAACAGAGCCAAATATTAACAGTACGACGATTGAAATTTCTTTTGAGAGCCATATTTTTTAAACTTAAACTTCTAACGCCACTTCTTCAAAATAGACTTGCCAGGCCGTGGTATTTTGTGGAAGAGCCACACTCAAGGGGCCAAAGAGCCTCATGTGGCTTTCGAGCCGCAGTTTGCCGACCACTGGCTTAGAAGAAAACAATGCCACATTAAGTCATTTTGTTAGGCCATGCATATTCTTATAGGTAGTCATTTATGTACGTGATGATCCAGCCTTCTCATAATAGGGAAAATGTGAAGGGAAGGAGACTCTTATTATAATAGAATTGACCTATGGTTTATGGTTTTCGGTTTCATTGAGAAAGGAAAAACATTTTCGTAGGAAAAATATTAATATTGTTCAAATTAGATTTTTGGATAACTATTAGATAATAGTGAAAGTTTTTAAATAATATTCATATTTAGAAAAAGAAGTGTCCCTTGTGGTTTTTGTCATTATAGAAATGCTTAAGTTTAAAAAAATAATGTAGTTAAGACTACATGTACCATTTAAAAAATTAGTGACAGAATGTTTACTAATAGAGTATTTCTAAGTATGAATAAGTTTCATTATTTTAATCCCAAACTTTGTACTCTTCCGTCATTAAACACACTGATATAATGAAAAGGAGCACTTACAGTCTGACTAATCAGTTTTGAGTCCTTTCTCTGGTATTTATTTCTTTTGTGATCTTGAGAAAATCACTTAAATTTATATGAGCCTTTTTCTTCTTCTTTATAAGGTATTATAAAACTTTATAATGGTATGTTAAAAAAAGAAAAAAAAAGAAAGGTATGTTATGAAAAGTAGAGCATTTGAAGAATGGTAAAAATGAGTCTTTTTGGATCTAGATATGCAGATCGTGCAAAACAAATTAAATGCAATGCTGTTATCAATGAAGACCCCAATGCCAAGCTTGTCCGTGAATTAAAGGAGGAGGTGACACGACTTAAGGACCTTCTTCGTGCTCAGGGACTGGGTGATATCATTGATAGTAAGTGAATTAAGGATCAATACCAAATCTAATCCTTTTCTCTTTAGGGCTCTTATATTTAAATTTATATTTAAGGAACTTGATGAAGCCAGATGGTAGGGAAAGGTTTTTTTGTTTTTTGTTTTTATTTTTTTTTATATGTTTATTGATTTTTAGAGAGAGAGGAAGGGAGGGAAGGGAGAGATAGAAAGAAACATCAATGAAAGAGGATCAGAGATCTGCTACTTCCTGCATGCCCCCTCCTGGGGATCAATCCCAAGACCCCAGGCATGTGTTCTGACCAGGAATCGAACTCTTGGGTCCTGGGTCAACACCCAACTGCTGAGCCCACTAGCCAAACTGTTTTTTCCTTAACTTCTTAAAAAAAAAAAAAGAAAGAAAGAAAGAAAAGAAAATTATCTCAGAAGTTTTTTATATATCGATAGTATGTACCAGGATATCCATTTGAACTCATGAAATTAATTTTTCATGAATATATCACTACTTGTATTTTTGTTAGGTTTCTGTTTTAGATCAGCAATGGGATTTATTTGAAACATAAAGCTATTCTCACTGAGAAACTAATTCATAAAAATATTACTTGAAATTTTTGTTTTTGTGTTACAGGTTTCTCTGGGTTAATATAATAGCAGTGACATATGTGTGAATGCTCCCCACCCTATTCCCTATGAACATATGAAGGGGAAAATATTTAATTGATCTCAAGTTCAAGAATTAGACTTCCAGAGAATGTTGTCTTACAGTATTGTCTTAAAATGAATCTAATTTTAATGTAATTCATTGGTCTTAAAATGAATCTCCTTATGTCTGATTAGGCATTATGCCTAATCAGAAGTTCTCTTAAGTGAGTTAAATGGATTATTCAGGTTGAATAGCATTTGGTTTTATTTAATAGAGCATATTTATGGTATGTGTTTTTTAGTGTAAGATTAATATTACATTATTTAAAATTCTAATAAGATTTTTCAAGGCCTCTTCTGATTTTCTAGTTTAGTTTGTCTTACTGATTAGCATGTAATTTTAGATGAATATAGTTTGTAAAATGATAATATATTCTGTGTTAATATTTTCATCTCCCCAAATGCCAAAATACTGTTCTGTTCCCTCTCTGTGTCACTGCTGAACCTGAACTTTGATCCTTCTTGTATTTTCCCTCCTGCTTACCTTCAGTTGATCCATTGATCGATGATTACACTGGAAGTGGAGGCAAATGTGTGTATTTCATGTATTGGTCATTCCCAGTACTCTGCTAGCTGCTTCTGCTGGATTAACCTAAAATGAGCTTTGCATGCCAGCAGTTCTAACAGTGAAATCCCAGACAGAGCGTACTGTGTGTAGATCCAGAAATGATCCTAGTTTTGCCCTTCTACATTTAGCAAAGCAGTCTCTGCTGCATTTCAGTTTGTGTCTTGAATGAAGTCGAGAGGCTAAAGAATCTCATGTTGCTTCTACCCTTCAGTGTTTCTTCTTATGTAATTAAACTGAATCCAGAGTCAGAGATGATAATAGCAGTGACAGCAGCTCACGCTTATGAAGAGTATATTATGTGTCAGGCCCTGTTCTGGTACCTTGGATATATTATCTCAATCCTGTCAATAACTTAAAAGGTCCCATTATGTCCATTGTACCAATGAGGACACTGTTACCCAGAATGGTTAGTTGGCTGTTGAGATCCGACGGTTTCTGTGTGGTCAGGTTGGGTAGTGTAACTCAGAGCCCTCGCTTTTAATCTTTATTACACCTTTTTGCTCTTAATATCCTTCAAATCTGATTATTTAATAGGAAAATCCTTTTTACTTAGCTGTGTAATTGTTAGGTTTAGTGTATATATAATTAATTGAAAACAGTCGCTTCCAGTTGGGAAGTCTCTGTGATTGAGCAGCTCTGTGACTGTTGGATTAGCATTCACCCTGGATTAGGCTAAATTGGCTTCCTCCCTATCTTGGGCCTCAGCTTGCTTGATAGTTAGGTAAACTCTTTTATTTTCTTTTTCATGAATTGCAAATTAAATTTTAAAAACTTATGTGAATGAAATTTGTGCTTGAAATGAGGATATTTTTTAAAGGATCGCAGATTAATCTTCCCATATGTGATAAATTGGTGAGGAAATAATTTCTTACCCTTTTAAGATAGTTTATCAAGGAATTATTGACTTGTTGGCTTGACAGTCAGTGAGAAACCCATAAGAGAAACCACATGTAGCCCTGGCCGCTGAGACAAAGTTAGGCCTTGAGGACACTCACTAGATGTTCTGATTCAGAGTGGCTCTTGGACTGGACGGCTCTGTCTGAGATTTCCAAGCTGACCGACATGGTGTGGGAAAAACACCTCTTGTTCTTGCTCTTATGCTCCCGAGGTGTTGCCAGCTTGTGGCCTCGCTTTTCCTGAGCAGCTGTGGCTTCTCCCTGAAAACTGTGCATGACTTAAATTCTAATTCCGGACCGTGCAGGAAAGCAGCCTGACCACTTCTGAATTTCCATTTCGATCTACACTTAATTCCTTTTAGGGCCTGCATGTGTCCAAGGACTTTCTAACCCCATCCTTCCTCTTCCCCACCTTGCTGCCATCACCTGATGGCTAATTCTTTCGCTGCGGTTCCTACCCTTTTAAAACTTGCTTGTTTTCCTGTGTTCTATATTTACAGATGGTGGTTTTCAAACTGTCTTGAAGCAACTGCTAGTTTTAAGGCGTTTCAATCTAATTTGATTAATTAGACATGAATAGGCCAGAAAGAACTTTTTTTTTTTTTACTCTTTGTATTAACTCATATATTTTTTTTAATATATTTTATTGATTTTGTACAGAGAGGAAGGGAGAGAGAGAGTTGGAAACATCGGTGAGAGAGAGAGTCATCTATCAGCTGCCTCTTGCACACCCCCTACTAGGGATATGCCCGCAACCAAGGTACATGCCTCTGACTGGAATCGAACCTGGGACCTTTCAGTCCCCAAGCCGACGCTCTATCCATTGAGCCAAGCCGGTTTTGGCTTAACTCATATTCTTTAAGGAAAACTTAGTTTTTATATGAATTTTAAGCAATGTAGATTTTCCCAAATTTAAAAATGAGCTAATTTTAAAATTGGAATGCAACAATACCTATGATTTTTTTTCCTGGTGTTTATTTGAGAAGGATGATTAATAAAAGTACAACCAGCAAATTATTGAACTTAGTTGTTTGTGGCTCATTTGCCAAAACTAAGTTTAAAAGCAAAATCTATAGCTCTATTGAAAACTTTAGTAAATGAAAGTGTGTCCCTAAAACGTGCATTTCATATTGAGAACTTGGCTTACAATGAATGGCTCATGGTCATACTTTTAGGAAAAGTAAGAGTCTTACTTAGCATACACTCAGACGTAATTTTTGCTTGCTCTAATAGATTAATGTAAACATACTAATTGCTCTTCCCTGTTAAGGCAAGCAGTTAGCCCTAAGTTCTTAACCAGGACTTAGACAAAATTCCTGTCATTTCTACAATTACCTCTCCTATTTTTAAAAAATGATGTATTTAAAAAAATCTTTTTAGCATATTGAAATGTTCCTAAACAACGGACACTATAAGTATTCATATTTTTGTTTTACTGTGACATTTTGGGGGGAATTTTTGCTGAATGCTATAAAGAACTGAGCCTGGCTGATATGTATTATTGATAAACAAGTGATCATCTCTTTTCCCTTACTGTGACAAACTATTGGGATTTACGGATAGTGTAAATGAGGCATTGCAGATTTGGAGCCACAGAAGAAATAGAAAGGAGAATGCTTAAGCATTATCCTTTGAGTTCCAACCTGATACAACATTAACCATGCTGTAATTTTTTAGTTTCCAAATTCAGAATTGATTCTTAACATTTAGGATACCAGTGTAAAGACAGACATGTTTTAGAACTGCCATCTAGAACAGGTGCAACTTGTTTTTGTATGATAACATGTCTTTGTCTTGGCACTTCAATGCTTTCCTTTCTTACACGGGTGTTCCTTCCTGTTTTTGTTTTTTTCCTCTTTCTCTGTTCCTTTCCCTTTCTTCTACTTTTTCTGCCTTCCCTTCTGTCTGTCTCCCAGATCTGAAAGATTTTCAGAACAATAAGCATAGATATTTGCTAGCCTCTGAGAATCAACGCCCTGGCAATTTTTCCACAGCATCCATGGGGTCCCTTACTTCATCTTCATCTTCCTGCTCACTCAGTAGTCAGGTGGGCTTAACATCTGTGAGCAGCATTCAGGAGAGGATCATGTCTACTCCTGGAGGGGAGGAAGCCATCGAACGTCTAAAGGTGAGTAACCATTCAGGCTAAATGAAAGTATTTATGTAGTTCCACAAGGTCGAATTGGAATTGAAAACCACTGAGATTTTGGTTCAGCATGTGGGAGAACTTTAACTTTTTCAGGTACCCTGAAAATGGAATTTGCTACTTTGTAAGATAATTAATTTCTGTTCACCAGAATGCTTGGCTCTGACGTGGCCAGGCAGAGTGGAGAGATTCAAGGGCAGATCGTAGGCTGGCCATGCAAAGTGACTGATAAGTACATAGGTATGACCATTAGTTCTGAGGTAGTTTGTAAGTCAATGAACTTGTTTAGTTAAAAATTTAGTTGGAGACTAATTAATTGGTTGAAAACAATTTGATGTGGAGCCATGCATTTATTTAGTAAAACAAATATTCAATCAAAAGAAAGTTTGCACTTTGGAGTAGGTATGTATCAGGTTTAGTCAGAGACACATGAAGTGGCATCTTTTGGAAGTCCATAGAAGGTCTGGAAACCTGGTGGTCACTGCTGTGGAAGGCTGCCACCTCCTGTGCAGGCCCTGCCCTGGCACTCAGCTTAGCTTTCCCAGCCTATTGCTGGCTCGGTCAGGTCTTGCTTGCCTCGCTCCATGAATGTGGAAGTGAGGAGCAGCAGTCTTCTGACCATGGCTTCCTCCTCCCCCTCAGTGACTACAGTGAGGGCAGACAGTTGTCCCCTGTGGTGCCACCCTTCAAATCACTGTGGCAGCATCACAGATGCGTTTTTCTTTCCTTGCTTGTTTGATTCATATCTTTTGGCCTTTGTGTTCAGAAGTGCCAGGGTAGGGAAAACCAGGAGTGTGAAGAAACTGGTTAAGGAGCTGGGAAGTTGCCCTCATGCTGCCAGCTAATAGTCCTCTGCATCCACCACTGCTGCCCATTCAAGGACCGGGAGAGCAGTGACACTGACAGGTTAACGATTGAAAAGGTTTGCTCACATTTCACCGCTAAGAGGAATTAAGCGTGATAACTGAAGATGTCAAATGCTTCCTTTTCGGTTTTCAGGTGAGGCTGAGAAAGATTTAACATAAAGAATGGCCTTCTGCTTCTTAATCAGCCTACCTTCCCCTGGGCATTTTACTCCTAAAATAAGGTGCTTTGGAAACCAAAGTAATGATCTTGTATCTTCCTCCAGAGCATGTTAGTGGAAAGTGGCAGAGGGAGAGGGAGTGAGAAGTTGAGAACTTTTCATGTTGCCAAGTGAAGAGTAATTTCTGCTGTTGTGAAATTGACTTTGATATGTTACTGAGGTCTGGAGCGAAGCCCTGGGCAAGAAGGCTTTCCTCACGTGTTTTATCGCGAGGCCTCAGGGACAGGTGCTGTGCCTCAGGGACAGGGGCTGTGCAGGGCCACCGTGGGAATGTGGGGCTCTGTGGGAGGGCAGAGGGAAGTCTCCCACTTCCTATTGAATATAAAATGTGCTTTTTATTTGGGATTTTGAATCTTACTATTTGCTTATTAAAGCCTTAGTGCACTAATGAGATTACACCTTCCTTTAACATACATCTTGGTGTAAAAGAAGAAATTCTTCCTAACTGCCAAGTGGATCCAACTGAAAATAATGTTGAATGTCAGACTCTGAGAATTAGATCATCCAGTGTTTTCCAAATAGTTTCTAAGGAATAATACTGCCATTATTCTGGGAACCTTCTCCCCAACCTCCCTACTTTCCACCAAAAACAAAACAAAACAAACAAAACTGCATTCTTCGTTGGAATGATCCTGTAAGCCAACATAAATGAAATCTTCCATCTTCCCTACCTTTAGGAAGTAGCTTCTTTGCATTCCATCTTGAGTTTTTAATGTAGCGTGGTAGTTCACTGAAGCTAAGTGCCTGAATTCTGCTCTTGTTCTGTGAATGGGGAGCATTCCATTCTGGCAGACCTGCATCTCAATGCTGCAGGCAGATTACTTCTTGCATCCACAGAAGGCAGTTTTTGTATGATAGAAATGCTTGAGAATTCCTCATTTTTGGGTTATTTCATTGTTGAGTGTCAAGGACCTGCATTCCTAAGACATGACACTGTAGGATAAAAATACTGTAATGGGAAACAGTTTTCAATTCATTTTCCCAACATTCTGTTTCCCTTTGCTTCTTAAAAAACATGATCATGTTGCTACTGCATTGTTCATTGAATAGTCTGTTTTCATATGGAGAGGTCTGTCCATGTTACACCATCATAAACACCTGAGCCCTTCATAAATGTCACATATAGTTGCTTTCAGTTTTTAGTTGGAACTGAGTTGAAATGTATGTAATCTCGATTTAATTCCTATTCAGAAAATTTTCAAAGATGTAGCCATAGTCATTGTGTAGTGACAATGGCGTTTATTTATTAGTCTGACATCAGAGTCAGCACTGTGAGTGCCATTGCTTAGGCTTAGACTATAAATATCAGCAAATATCCATTACAGAAGCATGCAAGGGCTAATGCTGTGCTAGGCAGCCCAAGGGCCCATACTTGGAACTCACTTATGAAGCATGCTGTGTTCAGTACAGTAAAGCCTCAGCATCTGATGGCTTCAAGGAATGTTTCATGGATAAGCATTAAACTTTTAAATGTCAGAATTCAAGCTAGTTTTTTTCTATGGAAATTTTTCTGACTTGGTGGATTTCTCTGCCACCATAACTGAATCATGGTGAAGAGATTAAATTGTGTTTAGCCAACCTTGGCCGGTGTTTCTCCGTGGTTAGAGCGTCAGTCCATGCACCTGGAGGACCGTGGATTTGATTCCAGATCAAGGGCACGTACCTGGGTTGCAAGTTCCATCCCGGACTATCAGGGTGTATTCGGGAGGCAACTAATCCATGTGTCTTTCTCACATAGATGCTTCTCTCTCTCTCTCTCTCTCTCTCTCTTGGCCTTCCCTTCCAGTCTCTTAAAAAAAAAAAATCAATGGAAAAATATTCTCGGGTGAGGATTGACAAAACAAAACAAAATTGTATTGAGCCATATAAACATAATTATTAACCAGTGCTGTACACATTGCTAGACACATGTGATGTGACAGTAAAGTTGAATGACACCTAAGCCCAGCATTCCTTGGAACTTAAAAAAAGTTCCTGATGTCACTCTGCTTTTCGGCATTTCTTTATGTGTAGTACCTGTAGGAAGGAAGGACCTTTTAAAGATTTGTCTCCTCAGCTCCTCATTGCTTAGCTGTGAATCCTCATTTTAGTTTAATCTTAAATTAGACTTCCAGAGCGGGTTGTGGGCAGACTGGACACCAGTGTGCCAGGCCTGCCTGCAGAGTGAGTTGATGACTCAGCGACTGAAAGCTGTCTTCCTGTTGGCATCTCTGTTTTAGTCATACTGTTTGTTACTCAGGCTTGAAGAAAGGATATCCTTCACCCTTTATTAAATAATTTATAATGGGCATTGTTAGAATATTTTATTTAAAGTCTATCGATTCTGCCTTGGACCTGGCTCAGGAAGAATTGCATCCTCAAGTTAATTGTTTAGTTTCTTTGATCCTCAGTTTCTTTATCCTTAGAATGATTCTGGAAAAAATGGTTTTCCCAGCACTGAAGTTTTGTTAATATTATATGATACTCAATATCATTTTCTGTAATCTTTTTTCAGAGTTTTAAAAAATAGCATTCTAAACAATATAAACAATACAACTTGAAGCTGTATTGAAAAATAAAGTAGTACCTTCCTCAGCTTACTCATTACATCTTTTTCTACATAGAGATCATCTTTTGATTTACCCTCCAGGTGGGAAGTAAAATTAGAGAGGTCACTTTAGAGTTGGCAGCAAAATGATAGTAAGAGGATTTCTAGACAATAATTTTGCTTTCTTAGGGTGAGTTTACAGTTGCCCCAAAATATAGCCAGAAAAACCTCTGCTCTGACATGATCTTTTTTGAAAATCAACTAGGAAAACAAACTATTTCATGGGTCACTTTTTACCCCATAGCAAACATCAGTGGCTCGTGGGCCACGCTGTGTATACTAAGCACTAGTGTAAGTGCTCTGGTTTGGTCAGGGGCATCATATTCTCTTCTTTGTTTAAGTTGTCAGTGTGAGACTGTAATTGCTTTTACCTGCTATTGTTAACAAACCTTAATGTCATACAGATAGGTGCCAGCTTGTCTTGTACATGCCCTTTTGCAGTCATTTGCAGAAGCATTTAACACTACCCGGTTAGAGTTGTAGAATAGCTTTTGTGATGTTTTATAGACACACTGTTGACCGCTTGCTACCTGGCATCCTTTCCTGGCTATCTTATTGCTTGCCAGAATTGTATGTTTTTTTCTTAGTTGCTGGCCCTCTATCGTGGCGTGTAGGTTCTTCATCACTTAGCTTTGGATTGGCACATGCATTGCAGTATTAGCCATTCCTGTTAGAGAACTGTGTAGAGAAGCCGTTCGGTGGTTCCCAGCCTGTGCATGTGGGGAGGGTTGTTGAGAGCCAGTTGGATGGCTTTGTCTCTTTTCTTCAGGCCTCCCGGCCCCCTGCAGACTTGTTCTAACTGAACTGTCTCTTTTCTTTCCCGAAAGTGCACCTCCTACATGGCCCCCTGTGTATCAACCTTACTGATGCCCACGCCAGTTCTGAGTGTTACCAGTTTTGCTCTTTGCCTAGCTTAGCTAGTTGTAGCAGTTGTTATTGTCCTTCTTTTTCTTCTCCTTCTCCATCATCATCATCATCATCACCATCACCATCACCATCACCATCACCTCCATCGTGCTCTCCAGTTCATTTCTCCTGACTCCTGCCCTCCTTTGCTTTTTCAGCTGCTGCCTTGATTCTTTACTCTTGGCTGTTTTACCTGGCCCCGTGCAAATGCCAGACACCTGGGGTTTATTGTATTACATATTCACAGTTTCTTTCTGTGTAATTAGGTTTTGGGATCCCAGAGGCTTCTTATAATAGCCTATTAAATGAATCATACTATTTTGTGAACTATTAAGACTTTTTATCCTTAATCACTATCACTATTATCATCACAGTGTCATTATCTTATCATTATTATCCTCATCAACTAACTTGCTCATCTTGTCCCCATGATAGCATTTTCTCCCGTCTTCTACATATGCTCATCTCCCATTTTCGTACTTGCTCTTCCTCCATTAGTCATTCCTACTGTCCTTCATTCATTGATACGAGCATCACTCAGCCTTTCCTCACCCACTTAGCACTTCTGTTCCAGCACTTAACTCACAGCTCTGTTGTTCTCTTGTCCATACGCACTCACAGTCCTTAAACATGCTGCTCTAGCCACGCTGTTGTTCCTGGAAAATTCCAGGCATTTCCCACCTGTTCCCTCATATATGCATTTGGCAGCTCCTGCTCACATAGGATCTTGTCAGTGAGTCCTGTCCTGACAAGCCCACTCCACTCTGCTCCCTCACTACCCCTCCCCGACATTCTTTCCCTTCCTGGCTTTGTTTTTCTCCAAAGCACTTACTACAGTCTGCTGTACGATTATATTTGACTTATTGGCTATAATTGATTATTTCAATCCCATTATTAAAATGAAAGTCTCATAAAGCAGGGAGGGATTTTGTTCCCTTCCATACCCCTAGTTGTCTAGAATAGGGCTTGGCATAAAATGCGGTTATACATATTTACTGAATGAACACATCATTAGTTACTTCTCTCTTTTTCCTTGGTATACAGTAAACTCCTTAAGAGCAGAAAGATGTTTTATTTCTTATTTTTTTGCGTATACAAAACACTCAGCAAGAAATTAGGAAGTTGTCACTCAGCGGCAAAATGCTTTCAGTTGCAATTAATACGAAGCCTTTATATATTGGCCATTGGTTTGTATTCAGAAGATACTGTGTGGTGGGGGAGAAAAATGTTTTTCCTTCTAATGGGGGCCCTGTAACAAAAGGCAGGTTAATAAGAGAAAAGCATACAATTTATTTAACAAAAGTTTGACATGACACAGGACTCTTCATAAGAAGTGTTAAACCAAAGCATTAAGTTTGATGAAAAGTGAAAAGTTGTGGGGAAATGTGATAGGGCAAAGGGGTGTGAGCTAAAACTAGGAAACGGGAAACTCATCAAGGCCTGTTTGTTCGATTCCTCTTGGCGTTCCTCTGTCTCCGGAAGCGTGGTGCTCCTTTCCTTCAGGAAGCTCTAGAACCTGCTTCAGGAGAGATCAGAGTCTTTCCTCCATACACCATTTTTTCACATTACTTCAGCTCACAATAATTAGTATGCCAAGACGCCATGTTTTTGGGGAGCATGTTCTGAACCCCATCAGTGTTATGGCAAAATAGTGAAACAAAAGCAATTCATACCTTTGGGAACTTTATTCTTTTGTAGAAGCGATGTCAGAAATAGTGCCTTTCATATTGGGCTGTTACTATTACTCTTTACACACACCCACACAATTAAGATATTTTTATTAGGACTTAAAAAAAATTCGTATATCTGGGACTGATTTAGTGTTAAGTCTGGTTTTTAGGATTCTTTTTTTTTTAATTTTTTTTTTATTTAGAAAGGAAAAAGTGTTATATTAGATTCTGCCTAATATTCTCAAAGGACATCATCTGCTTCTTGCTGTCCTTCCTACACATGCTATGCTAAATTATGAGACTGCCACTTTATTTATTTTTTTTTTAAAAATAAATTTTATTGATTTTGTACAGAGAGGAAGGGAGAGAGATAGAGTTAGAAACATCGATGAGAAAGAGTCATCGATCAGCTGCCTCTTGCACACCCGCAACCAAGGTACATGTGTCCGCAACCAAGGTACATGCCCTTGACTGGAATCGAACCTGGGACCCTTCAGTCCCCAAGCCGACGCTCTATCCATTGAGCCAAACCGGTCTTGGCGAGACTGCCACTTTAACTGTGGACTTCCTCCCGTAGGAATCAGAGAAGATCATTGCTGAGTTGAATGAAACCTGGGAAGAGAAGCTGCGTAAAACAGAGGCCATCAGAATGGAAAGGTCAGGAGGTTAAATTCTGGGAAGTGTCTAAATTTTCTAAGGAATTTTGATTACTTTTATAATAAGAAAAAACAAAATAGAAGTTAAGAACAAAGAACTTTCTATCCTAAAACAAAAAATAAATTTGGCTGGGGAGGTATGGCCAGTTGAATTTATACTTTGAAATAAAATTCACATGTTTAAATGTTCTCTAGGAAGTCATGGTGCTTCAGTAGTTACCATACTGCATGTTACTGGGTATCCATATAAAGATGGAAGATATTGGGGAATAAAGTTTTTAATTTGCAAGGAGATTGCCCAGATTTATAAAGCTATTCTGATTATTGTCTTTCAAAGTTTTATAGAAACTCTTGGTAAGAAATGAAGGAGTTTAACTTGCAAACTTTTAAATTCCCTATTCTGTCTCTAACCTGGATGTGAACATTACCCAAAATAATACTTTTGGTATTGTAATAAATATACATTTTTGAAATGTCTGTCTTTTCTCATCATAGAAATTAGGCAGGAGTAAGTTTTAATGTATCGATACAGTAAATGTATCAAACAATTAGAACTTTCTTACTTAATATAGAAATTTTAAGCTAGAATTATTGAACCAATATCATGTTAAACATGGCAACATACCATTCAAGAAAAATCAAGTTCATAGACAATACTCCATCTATCAAAGTTTCTTTCTGATTGCTTTCCTAGATTTTGAAGAAAGGTTGAGTCTTATGTTGAGCCTAAAGGAATATCTCTTTCTTTTTTATACAAATAAACATTATGAATTATTGTCTACCTCTAATGTGAAATGAGACAGAGTTCTTATTTAGGTGAAGATAACTTTAATAGAAAAATATAATTTATTTAGTATGTGCTCTTTCTCTTAAAAATAATTTCTCTAATGATGAGATAAGCAGATTTTTTCACAGGTATTACTGACTTTAAACAGGGACAATTGTTTTTGCTTTGCTTTATTTTTCAGTTCATATTAGAGTGATTTAATTGGCATTTTGGTATTAGAATTCTGATGTGATTTTGTTTTTTCTAGAGAGGCCTTGTTGGCTGAGATGGGAGTTGCCATTCGGGAAGATGGAGGAACTCTGGGGGTTTTCTCACCTAAAAAGGTAGGAAATACTGTTGTGAAACTCAATCAAACAGAAACTTTTTGTTTGTCTACTCACTGGGATGCTTCATGTCTTTTTGGGCTGGCCCCTCAAAGCGCCCACTCCTTTTTTTTAATCTTGAGACTTGGCTTGCTTAATTTCAGATATTTCTAATTTCATCTTACAATCTATTATGTTTATGGTTTACAAAATAAAACTCAAGGCAATAAATCTGTACCTTTTGGTCAAGATTCAGCATGTTTAATCTTCCTCATTGCTGCTTTCTCTTAAAGGCCCAGCCTAACATAGCAGCCCTTGCTTCTGTTGGCTACTCTTTCTGTGTAGATTTTTCCCACAGATGCTGGCAACCCTTATTTATAACTCTCTAAAAGCAATTCCAGTTTGTTTAGAAGAATAACCGCTTTAGTGTACTTCTACAGTTTGTGTTATAGACAACAGTGTACTGAGCAAAGCAATTCCTGTCCTCGTCCTTCTAGCCTCAGCTCCTTTACCAGTTACAAAAAAGGACTCCAGTAATTACCTCCCTACTTCCATAATCTTAGTTATGAAGTAGTAGATACCTTTTAGTTAATCAAAATAGTAAGGTGTGTTGTTTGTTGTTGTTTTTACCAAGTTGCTTCTTAGTTGTTGTTTGTATTGCCTAACGTCAGTGATTTTCAGCTTACAGGTTTTTTCTTCAGTAAAACATTATTTATTCAGATATGTTACTTAGGATTATAGAGGTTAACAGTCATAGGTTTGCTAGTATTTAGAGTGTGCCTTTGCATCTATCTATATCTTTATACACACAACACATGTAGGTATTTAAGGATATTTTATAATATCTTTTAACATTAAGAACTGTGATTATCCACCCATGACAAGCACTGGCCCAGAAGGCTGCCACAGAAACACTGTGGCTCATGGGCCCTGTTCCCCTCTCCTGGGCCGCAGGGATAAATTTGGCTACAGACATTAAATAAATAAATAAATAAATAAATAAATAAATAAATAAAAGAACTGTGATTATAGCTGATACCGGTTTGGCTCAGTGGATAGAGCATCATCCTGCGGACTGAGGGGTCCCAGGTTCCATTCCAGTCAAGGGCATGTGCCCGAATTGTGGGCTGGACTCCCAGTATGGGGCGTGCAGGAGGTACCTAGCTGATCGATGTTTCTCTCTCATCAATGTTTCTAGCTCTCTGTCCCTCTCTGTAAAAAAAAAAAAATCAATAATATATATATAATTTTTAAAAGAACTGTGATTATATAACATCTTGTAAATATATGGTATTTAACACAAATCATAAATAACTTAAGTTTTGTGATATAAACAGCATAGAATTCCAAACTGGCAGCTCTGTTTTAAAACCTTTTTCTTACTTTACTTTTACTCATCCTGCTTTAGCTTTCTGGACTTCCTCAGGACACTGTCCATATCCAAATTCAGTGTCAGAACCTGTTTCTGATGTGTTAACGTGATTGTGGTAATCATTACTCAATGTGTGCATTTATAAAATTGACACATTGTACATCTTTTAAAAATCACATTCAACTAAATAAATACAATTATTACCTGTCAGTCATACCTCAGTAAAACTGGGAGGAATTCCTTTAAGGCAAGAAAAGAAAAAAGGAAAGCCTATTTCAGAGATTCCTTTTTCTTAGACCAGTGTCATGCAGAGCCCTAAAGAGTTCCGCCCAAAGAGGCCTGACTCTCAAACCAGCAAGCTTTCAGTATGCAGCGGAAGGTCTAGTTGAGAAGATGTAGAGGGTTTTCTAATTTATTTTTAATCGTCTTTTCCAGTTCCTTTCTTAACCCTCTCATCTGACTCTTCTCTCATTTTTTCACATTTGCTGACACTATCTTGAGTAGATTTTGACCCCAACACCTTGTGACTTATTTTTGGATCCCAATGGGATATTTTCACCAAAGAAGGTTGGTTTTTAAAAGATTTTAGAAATATTAGAGTTAGATGAGAATTTTTACATGATTTGTATATTATTTGAATGTTAGTAATTTTAATTTTTTCTTTAAAGTATAGACTAATTAATAAACTAAAGATAATAACAGACCATGGAAGAACTGCTAAAAATTACAGAGGGAGATGATGGGAATGTGGGGACTTTTTTATTCCATGTGATCTTACTTATATGTGGAATCTGAAAAAAACACACACTAAACTTATCAATACAGAGAACAGATTGGTGGTGGGGGACATTTTTATAAAGCAAATGAAAAATTAAATATTTATTGGGATTGTAGGGGAGGGAAAATAATTTTTCCTCTACCCTTCTGACTTCTTTGCTGAAAGCCCTGTAATAAAAGACAAATAGATTAACAAGAGAAAAGCAAATAGAAGTTTATTAACATGTCTGCCTTATGTATATATGGGAGATACCCAGGGGAAATTGACTAACGCCTTGATGTGGCTTAGAGTTCAAACGTACTAGTAGATATTAGTAGGGAAAGGAGAGGGAAGATAGATCTCTGGGGGAGAGGAAATGGTTTTTAGGATCCTTGGAAGAGTTGATGGGATGTGTGGTAGCCAGTGTGTGACAGTCTGTCTGGGTGTGGTGTTGACTTCTGGCTTCCTCTCCTGTGGTAAGAGTCCACCTTCCCTTTAATGAAACTCCTGAGGATTTATGACTGTTGAGCTCTGGTAGGTAGGAGGATCTGTGTTGAGACAGATATGGGAGGTCAGAGAAAGCCTTTCTCTGCATTGGCTGCTTTTCAAGTGCCCACAGCTCAAAATACTTAAAGTGGCATGTTTTGGGGTGGCATATTCTGCTACCCTTCAAGATTTTTGTCCAAGCGTTTACAAAATTATGATTACCCATCCAGAGAATCATCCTGTCCTAATTTTTCTTTTTTGTTCTGAATGTTTTGACCTTATCAAGAACTGACTCTTGTTCTTCATCTCAGAACTCGTGTTCTTAGAATGTGTTAGTGCAGTTGGTGGCCTGGAGAGAGTATTTTCTATGTGCGATGGAACTGCAACTTGGAAGAAAGGCAGTCTCTTTGCCAGCGCCTGCGGGTAACCCAGGAAACCTCAGCCTCCTGTTGTCACAACTTTCTCAGGGCGCTTGCTCCAGCTTATCTGTAACCTTTTTCAGACCCCACATCTTGTAAACCTCAATGAGGACCCACTGATGTCGGAATGCCTGCTTTATTACATCAAAGATGGAATTACAAGGTAGGTTTGTTTCTGTTGGTCACTTTAATGTTTTCTTCTCTCTTAGATTGAATAAAAGGAAGTTGTTGAAGATTTGTTGTAATGATTTGCTGATTTTCCCATCTGAAATAGTTATAAACTATCCTCTCTACACTTCCCAAATTATGTGTCTTAGCCAGCTGAACTAGTTAACGTGGTTTTCCCCTAAAAGACCCTAAGTAAAAATTTTCCTCTTTACATCTTACATAAATTCATTAAGTAGATTAGTTCACTCATGTCTTTGTATAGTGCGTGTGAGATACATTGGTAAATCATTGTTCCTTGGTTTCTTATTCTGATGTAGGGAAGTTGACCATATTTGAAAATAGAATTTGCAGTTGAAAGCCTCTGATAAAAAAAAGTGGTACCTTTTTTATATGTACCAAAGAATATTCTTTGGGAGAAAGCAGTTTATTGTTTGCAGTGCCCTTTGTGTCTGAATTTCCCTGGGAAACACTTTCTCTTGTGTTCAGAGTTGGCCAAGCAGATGCTGAGCGGCGCCAGGACATCGTGCTGAGCGGGGCTCACATTAAAGAGGAGCATTGTATCTTCCGGAGCGAGAGAAACAACAGCGGGGATGGTGAGAGTCCTTGGCTTAGCTTTCCCAACAGCTTTCCTTTCCACATTATGGGAAATCCATGCACAAGACCTGGTGTTTATTCCCTGTCTCTCTCAGTGATACTTCCTCATACAATCCAATATTTGAAAATGGAGAAACCTGGGCTGCGTATAAATGTAGGGACAGACAGAGCTACTTTGCATGAAAATAGCTTGGACAAAAGGAGCCCTTTGTTACCGCCAAGAGCTAAGCAGGACATAGGCAATTAGGCTTGGTCTTGAATGTTAATTATTTGATAGGCAAGTAAGAAGGGAACAAATATTCTGGGTAGTAGGAGATTGGAAGGACCTCCAGCCTTAATCAGTAGAATTTTATCTAAAAAGAAAGAAGTCAGTATTGTATATTGTACAGGTTATTAACAAAACAACATAATCTAACCATATTTTTGTGCTATATAATTCATTCCTTCCTTAATCAAAAGATTAGCTTTTAATTTTAAGTTTCCTATTATCTATATTTCATACTTAAGATTTCTGATGGTTTACAATTTTGTAGATTGAACTATTAGATATTACCAAAACAGATTTTATATCTTCTGAAGTTTGTCAATTTAAATGTTTCTATCTTAGCCACAGCCCTGGTTATGGCACCCCAGAATAAACTATTATATGATGCTCAGCCACTTGGTCGGTTACAGGAATCTATTCTAGTTACCCTAAATCCTCATAGCCATCTACTTTCTGTTATTTTTTCCCAGTGGTTTGTGATGCTAACATTTATTTGCATTCCTCTTAGTTATCGTGACTCTGGAGCCTTGTGAACGCTCAGAAACCTACGTAAATGGCAAGAGGGTGGCCCAGCCTGTCCAGCTGCGCTCAGGTGAGAGTGGGACAGATTTGAAATTTTCAGCAAAGACCACATGGCTTGTATGAGCAACTCTATAATTTATTTTTTTTAATTCTCACCCTGGAATATTTTTTCCATTGATTTTCAGAGAGAATGGAAGGGAGGGTGGGGAGGGGAAGAGAAACATAAATCTGAGAGAAACACATCAATTGGTTGCTTCCCGAAAGGGCCTCTATTGGAGCTAAGAATCAAACCCACAACCCAGGGACCTGCTCTTGCCTGGGAATGGAACCCGTGACCCTTAAGTGTATGGGCCAATGTTCCCACCACTGAGCTCAACAGCCAGAGTGCAACTCTTTTAATTCTGAATTTTTGTTTAAAGGCTGTAGTGGTAGCATTAGGATTTATGTTCTTGTAAAATCTCAAAAGCTGTCTTTTTGCATTAAAGGAGGGTGAGGTTATTAACCTAGATATTATACATTTAAAAAGTGGTTTCTTAACTTTGTTTTGTTTTGTGGTAGGAAACCGTATCATCATGGGTAAAAACCATGTGTTTCGTTTTAACCACCCTGAGCAAGCACGGGCTGAGCGGGAAAAGACTCCTTCTGCTGAGACCCCCTCTGAGCCTGTAGATTGGACATTTGCCCAGAGAGAGCTTCTGGAAAAACAAGGAATTGATATGAAACAGGAGATGGAGAAAAGGTAATGTACAAATGTGATGTGGCCCGAATGACTGTCACTTCTTTTAAACATACAATAGTAGTATTGATAAAACAGCTCAGTGATTTCACCATCTATTCCTTTCTCCTCTTGGTTTTCTCTTTCCTCTAGGTTACAGGAAATGGAAATCCTATACAAAAAGGAGAAGGAGGAAGCAGATCTTCTCTTGGAACAGCAGAGACTGGTAGGAATTCATGCTGCATCCTCTGTTAGGAAAAGGGCAGCTTGCTCTCACACCTTCCCTGCCCCACAGATGAGCACTCACCCACATGGCTTATCCATCTCTCACTGAGAGCACACTCTGTTCTCTGGCTTCTTTAGCGGAGAACAAATGTACAGCTCCTGGCTGAGGCTAAACAAACTGTTCATTAAGGTGCTTTTGTGCCTTTTAGCAAGTCTGTCAACACCAAGTGCTATAGTGGGGGCTTTTCCGTGCATCGTGGTGGTTTTTTGAGTGATAATTACTGTTCATATTGAATTTGATGGGCGTTTGCCTTGGTTTTGTTCCTGATCACCTGATAGTACTAATTCTCTGCTCTTGGGCTGACCTGGGGGTTGTTCTCGTGCTGGGCGGACTTTTTTTTATTTTTTATTTTTTTAGTTAAACTGTGTCTAAAAATGTTGCTGCACAGTTGCATGTGTTAATCCTTTTCTGTCCCCCTGCATGGAGTCTGCATCCTCAATTAGGAACCCCGTGGCATGTGGGATGACAGTGGAGCAGGGGCTGTACAGCCAACACAGATAGGGGAGGAAAGCCTGGTTTCTCTGGGTGAGCAGCTGGAAAGTTGATGTAAGGTTGCAACTTATAATGCTAATGGCTTTAGCCTTTTATGCTGTTAATTGGTTTTCCAAGTTTGATAGAAACTGAATCTTACGAATAAATAAGTTAATTCATTAATTAGATTTTCATTAGAAATTTTAAAAAATATCTTTGTATTGCTTTTTAGAGAGAGAGGAAGGGAAAGGGAGAGAAAAACATTGACGTGGCACCAAAACATCGAGAGCCTCCTGCATGCCCCCTGCTGGCCATCGAGCCCACCACCTGGCATGTGCCCTGACCGAGAACCGAACCAGCAGCTTTTTGGTGCACAGAACAATGTGCACCAACCATCTGAGCCACATTGGCCAGGATTAGATTTTCATTTTTAAAGCCATCCAGTTTTGGTTAATAAAACCCTTGTTATAAGAAACTTCTTGGCATTCACTTAATATGTGAAGAAAAGGCATATAAACCTTTGGGTACTATAGGTGCAAGTTAAAAATTTTTCCTTTTTTAAGATTCTTGAATGTCTGTTAATATATAAGGTTAGCATAAATTATAGCATGTTAAAACGTTGCATATAAACTACAGCCTTTTAGCCATGCTCTGCTTTGGAGAAGAGAGGCTACTGCTAAAAGGGCCAGAAAAGCCATGGGCTTAAGCAAAAGCAGCCTTTTCCAGGGCAATTCAGTTCGGAGGCTTGGCAGTAGTTAACCAGTTCATTTGTTAGCTTGGAAGTTACAATAAAGCACCCCTCAGAATGGATTGCAAGAATAAATCAAGTGTCTGAGGCAAGATAATAGCAGTGTTGCATATAGAGAGTCTATTTAGGAGGCCTAGATAGCATTTAGTTTTTAGTAAAAATGGAAAGATTAGGTACAATGTGATTTAGGACTTGAAAGGTTTACAACACATAAAGGAGCCTTTTATCTTAATAATGTAGTGTAATCTAATAACATGCCTCTGATGGTCTGTGAGAGATCAAACGAGGACAGGTATAATTAAGCTGTGTTTCGTATTATAGATAGTGCCTTATAATTAATTGTATAGTGCTTTATAATTTACAGAGAGCTTTAACATCCATCACTTTTTTTTATTTCTGAAACAACTCTCTTTAGTAGATTTGTATAGACATAAGTAATATCAGCTCCAGTTGAGGAAACCAAGGCTAAACAATACTGTCTTGCCCACTCTTTAAAACCTATTAAGTCATGGGTTTGAGGCTTAAACTTGGGTCTTCTGACTTACTTCACTGTTGTGTTCAGTAAAGCAGTACTTATCAGCTACCTAGGAGTCTTGTTAAAAAGCAGATGCTGATTCAGCAGGTCTGGGTGCGGCCTGAGATTCTGCACTTGTAACCTGCTCCCCGGGGATGCCCATTCTCCTCGTCCTGGGACCATCTGATGAGGAACTAGGTGGGAAAGAATGATAGCTGGTGTTCTCCGTAACCAAAAGCTGCTGATCATTCTGTGCTCGGGAGTAGGGATGTATTCACAAAGATGAAGTAAATGTCTCTAAGACATGCTTCGTTTCCAGGGAGCACACTTACTCTGCAGGTAGTCAGGTCTGGTTGTCATTTGATCTGTGTATCTCAAAGCAAGGATTTCAAGAGCAGGTCCTCAGAGCAAGGAGCTGCTTTCCTCCCACAAGTCCAACTCTGTATTCCATTTCCATGTCTTGCCTTCAGAAGGAATTGATTTCTAATGCTTTAGCCTGAAGAGTATCTGGTAGTAATAGGTTTTTTTATTTTTTATTTTTATTAAGGTATTATATGTGTAGTAGTAATAGTTTTGAATGGGAAATTTATTTTTACAATTCCTATATTTGTCAACTAACATATATTTTTAATACGCCCTATAAATAAACATTGAGAGGATACAAAAGAATTATTTTTCAGTAAATATCTTTATATGTTATCATTTTTGCATAACAGCAGCATTAAAAAGCGGAGTTTTCTGTTACCATAGTTCCCCATATGGTGCGTCACACTGTTATATTCTCTTGTAGTTAGTGCCCTGTTGTACACCTAGTTCTTTTCATGCTTGCTTTTCTACACATGTGTTTTGGGTATCTTCTCTCTTCTATTTATAAAGCTTCTTGCAGTCTTTCCAGGAGGCCTACTTTACATTTGGTATTTAAGGAAAACTGAAGGATCTTTAGTGACATGTGAACTGGCCAAACCTGCGTAGTTTTTCCAACTCTCTAATAAATGAATCTAAATATCTTTTTTTTTCCTGACATGAGATAGAATTTACATCTTGGTATATAAACTTTGCATACAGACTTCCTAATATGATGGTCAGTATGTTAGGGGGTATATTTGAGCTATATGGTGAACATAGTATACAGTCAGTATGACCATATTTTAAAAAGAAATTAAATTATAACCACTTCATTTAATATGAGTGCTTTTGAATATATAGGCTTTCTAATTTATTTATGTTTTATTTTGGAGTTTTATCTCTCAGTCAGGTTACTAAAGCAATGATTTATTTCCTAAATTAGGTAGTATTCCCTTAGTTCTTAAGCAATTTTAGAAAGAAATGGAGTCAGGAAAAAAGTGATAGTTGTCAATTATATGGGAAGAAACAGAGAGAGTTTGTTTTGTAAAACTCCGTTTCTCTATACTTGCAAGAAATCTTTTTTATGAGGCAGACATACTTTTTCTCTAATATTAATATCTTTTATCACTTAAGATTAGCCATTCTGGTTTTTTAAACTAAAAATGAAAAATAAGTAGTCTAGAATCTATAAATTTAACTTTATTTGCTTTTTGTTGCCAAATTTTTAAGTAGATGGGGCTTAGATGTTGGTTTAGTACCCATTTATGGACCAGTATAAATCAGTCAAAACAACTCCAAATTCAGGGGCCAAATTATTGTCATGTTAAAAGTTACTTTTTGTCTCTAAAAAGTAACTATATGTGGAAATTTTGGTATAGAAAGCAAGATACTGTTTATCAATTCTGATTTTTGAAAACCTTTACTAGAGATAATTTCAGTAGTTATAGCCAGATAAAAGAGACTAATAAGTAAGCATGTTTTCATTTCCTCGGCCAGCTTGAATTATTCAGTGAGTAGTGTCTTTTCTCAGTAGTGTCTTTTTCTGAATAGAAATTCTTTCTTAATCCTGTTCATCATAGGGAATTGTAAATCCATAGCTTTCATTTAGGTCCATGTTATCAAGATTTGCTTGTGTTAGTTAAGAATAATTGGTTATTGTCTAGACGGTTATTATCCCAAATCAGGCTGCAGTTTTAGGTCTAAGTAAAATGTTTTGAAAAAGAGTCAGTGGTGCAAAGATAGCCAGAAAGAAAGTTAGAGAAAACATTTTAAAGTGGATCCATTTCACAAAAACAGTAAGAGCTTCCTGTTTTATATGTTGATAATGAAGAATTATTACTTAAAGTGATATTTCTCAAATAGCTAGAAATGCCATGGGTTTTTACAGAAAACATCTCTAAGTTGTATTTATTAAAATATTACTTGGAGAATCTTAAGATGTTAATAAAAGTTTATTTGCCTGATTTGATTTATGTTCTAGAAGTTTGTTTCTTAAAATTTTGGAGGTGAGGTATTTATTGATTCAAGTGTGGAAAACAAAATAACAGATCCACTGTAAAGACCCTCTTATGCTTTCTTGCTTTCTGGATAACACCTCTAATTGTATAAGTGAAAGGATCAATTAGACATGACACAAGAAAATAGCAAACCCAACATGCTCCCGGAAAGACTAGTTTCAAACCCTCTTGTCTTCTAGAAAAACCATTTGGCTGATGAGAACTCACATGGTTGCTGATAGATTCTTAGCATTTTTAACATCATCCCTGTTTGCTTCTTTTTCCACTTTCTCATCTTCTAACTTTTTTCTAGGGCTGCTCTTTTTAGTAAAGCTAAACAGAACGTGGCATCCTACAGCCTTTACTAACCTTTGTTAATCTGCCTGCTCGTCACATCTTGTATGGCATCTGTGCTCACTCATGGGGAAAGAGTTTCTGGAAGAAGCAACAGCAATAACCAAGGCAAATGTGGGGAAGTGGCTGCATGGGTGTTAGCATGAATGGGGTGTAGGTTTTACTTCATATTCTTGAGATGGTGGAGATGTTATTTTATACCATTTTCTTAATAACTCCATATGACCTCAGAGTGAGAGTCTCACTCGCGGTGTCCGTCTCCCTAAGAAATTTGCTTGCTATATTTCATACGTATGCCAGAAAGTGAAATTTGGATTAGTGTTACTAAACAAACCAACTAATCTTTATATTAATAACAATCTACATATGCATATGTCTTAATAGACTTGCACATCATTTAAGATTTTTGTTTTATAGGGGTTTGTTTTGTTTTTATATTTGGTTAAGGCTTTTTTGTTTGCTTTTTCTTCTATTTGATTTTCATTTTTTACATTTTAATTTTGGTTATTTT